TACATTAACATTATCGTAAGTGTTATCTTAGCATTAACATTAACTTTACGATGTTTCTGACAACGGGCCCCACGTTTACAATGTTGAGTTTAACAGGCTCCTGTCTTTACCTTATAAATTACCACCCGTATGTAAAACTAGAATAATATGAGCTAGTTTCCAAGCACTGTGTGTTCGTATAAAACCCGGGGAAGCATGCTACTGTGTCAGTGTGAATTACCTATATATAATAACTGTAGAATAAAGAAGCTGGTGATATTAAACTCCTGCTATGGAAATTTTCGGTGTTCGCGTATAGTGATCAAGACCGGACTGTAGAAAATTTAATTCTTTGGAATAAATACACATTAGAGTTATATATATATTATGTACTCATTTGTGTATATCTGCATTGCATGGAATGTGTACATCCTGGCTACTATTCGCGCCCGAATATCATCTAGCCGACACGCACGCACGTACGCACGCACGCACGCACGCACGCACGCACGCACGCACGAACGCACGAACGCACGCGCGTACTACTCTGTCATATTTCGACACTGAGCCCCGGGTTCGCAGTCAGCCAAGCATCCGCGATCAGTGGAGGGCGTATTGCACGGGTCTCACTTTCATTTCTGTGCTCATGAGTGCTTCAGAGTGACCGGGCCAGGTGTACCACACAACACCCTTTGTATTGTCCTCTCCGTAAAGTCCGTTCAGGTTCGAATGGTGGCAGGCCCCGTACCACCAACCGCCCTTGTATGTTTCACCGCAGTGTTGGGTCTCGTGGGTGTCGTTGTCCCGGTCCGGAGTGCTGAAATTTTTTCCATGATGAGCAGATATCATCGAGTCGTCTGAAAAAAGCATCATAACATCTGGGGTTCCGAAAAATTTAGTCGGGCAGCTGTAACGAGACGTTAGACGCAGCCTCATCGCTAAATGACACGCGAATCTGAGAACAATATATACATATTCATATAACAATGTATATATATTGTTCTGCATGCAACAATATATACATATACATATAACAATGTATATATTATTATGCATGCAACAGTATTATACGTATAACAATGTATATATTGTTCTGCATGCAACAATATATACATATACATATAACAATGTATATATATATATATATATATTGTTATGCATGCAACAATATATAGATATACATATAACAATGTATATATTGTTGTTCATGCAACAATATATACATATACATATAACAATGTTTATATTGTTCTGCATGCAACAATATATACATATACATATGTGACCCGCTCCAGCAAAACCAGGATTAAGTAGAAAATTCTACAAATTGAGATATGTGCATACCTGATTAGATCGTTTAATTACCTTAAAAATGATTTAAAATATTTGACTATGTCTAAAGAATTGACCGAGCTACAGGAATTTGAAGATCGGAAACCAACTTATTCCGGAATATGCAGCTTTTGAGATAAAGGTTTAGGGGCCCAGTCGGGGATGAGCGGTCAGGAGCCCTTCAATATTATTTTTTTTCTTTTTAATTAAAAATTACCATAATAATCTACAGATATCTGAACCTATATATCCGGATTAAATATGCACTTAAGAACTTATTTTTGTAAACATCTCATTTTTGTCCAGGTAGGCCATTTTCAGCATTGACATGTGTGCATGCTCATTACTCAAAACAATGACTTGCGACTTAGTGCGTATTATGCTGGAGCGGGTCACATATAACAATGTATATATTGTTATGCATGCAACAATATATAAACATGTATATATTGGTATAACAATGTATATATTGTTCTCGCAGACGCGAACGAGCGTTTACCCGCAGTGCCGTGGTACATGCCGACGTTGAGTTTGTATATCGCCCTCTCTGAAGCGATGCTGAAAACATCGTACGTGGCGTAGCGCGTCTCACCCGAGAATCTTCTCAGATCGATTCGTAGCTGCATCGGTACGGAGGTAGTGAGAGCGCTCAGTCGGTCGTTGCCTGCATGAGAGTGATAGAGAGAGAGAGAGACGTTGTTATCTGCATGAGAGTGAAAGAGAGACGTTGTTACGACGCATGCGCAATCGCCACACTTCTTTGGTGAAATTGCGCCAGCGACGAACTTAAATTGAATTCGGCGTATTTTACTTTCATATACCCGGGTGCATGTCAGGAGAATTCGATTTAGCGCCGGGTTCAAAACCGTTTATTTGTAGTGTAGCGACTATGAGGTTGCTATATCGAATTTTCGCTTGCCACACGTCGCTCACGCTAAATTCAAACGTGTTTGTATGACTAGCGAAACGTTTCTCACTATCACATGCACAGGTGGGGTTAAGACAGCACGCACGCACGCACGCACGCATGCACGCTCGCACGCACGCACGCACGCACGCACGCACGCACGCACGCACGCACGCACGCACACACGCACGCTCTTACGCTCGCACGCACGCCCGCCCGCATGCATGCACGCACGCACCTAGCCAATGTTCTCCGTTCATGTTTCCGAATCCGGTACCCGTGTATGTGTGTGTGTGTGTGTAGTGTGTGTGTGTGTGAGTGTGTAAGTGTGTGTGTGCTGTGTGTGTCGTGTGTGTGTGTGTGTGTGTTGTGTGTATACTGCACGGTCGCATCCACACGTACGGTCGGTTCTTCATGTCGGCAGTACACCACGAAAACGCCTCGTCGAGAGAAACCGGGAACAGGATCATGTACTCTCCGTCCCGTTACTCTCGTTCTTTCCCGATCTTCATCACCTCAGCAAATCTATCCCGCATCTCTGAGAGGAAGGAATTATTACGCCAAAAGCACGGCACCGTTCAAAGCACGTCACGACACACGCGCGCATCCGATGGCAGAACGACGGCACACGCAAAACGCACGCAGCACGCACGCGAAGCAGCACACGCAAACGCTGGGCACGCCACTGCACTGACCAAAGGCACGCGACAGAAACGCAAATGCCTAATGATCAGATAAGATTGGCTAGTTAAAGCTTTGAATGCTAGACGTAGCGTATGCAGTTAAGCAAGGGCGGAAGCATAAAAATTACGTCTGACGCTCTACGGTTCCTAGCTCTCAGCTCGGGTGGCCAAGGCCCTCGAGGATGGATGTCTATGAGTGTCATCGACTGTCCAAACCGACGTATCTCGGCGTATCTAGCTCGCAATCATCGCAATATTACTGGTTCGGATTACGACCATAATTCTCTCTACCATACGTCTCTCTCCTCATACGTCTCTACTCATATTATACGATAGCTATATGGTACATGTCGGTAAGGGCAATATATCTATACATATATATAATATAGTGTATATATATATATATACACGTAGTAATATATATTAATAGATATAGTATAGATATAGATATATCGTGTCTCTGCGGAATTACACTAAGAGGTTGGTTTGTCTCTCACGCTCCCTCGTGTTTGTGTTATACATACGTCAAAATGACGGCAAACGTCTGTTCAGTGAGCTATGTTGTTCAGTTCTAGATATACTGCAGTGGCAGTATCGCGTTGGCCAGGCTAAGCTACGCGCCTAGAAATTTGAGCCCAGTTGGGCGCGGTTGTCAATAAAGCAGAACTGGTCCTAAACGCTAGTCTTAATCATGAATAATTTTTCTCCGTAAGACCGGACCTCCTATACACGGTGGCGGCACGAGAAACTTTTAACTTACGCAGCGTTTCTGTGCAACGAGATAAATTAAGTCAATGCTAAAAACTTAGCGTTAAGAGCTAAGATTTGTATCTAAAAATATCGGATATAATATAAGCCAGAAAGTGTACTTGCTTTAGTTTCGAGAGCTCTAGCACTCGTCTCGCAACTCGGCGACAGCTTCTTCACTCCTCGTGATGACCGTCGTGGTCGGCGTTAGCAAGGTCGAACGATCGTTGTCATGTTGGCAGGAGCCGGCCACGGTGTGACCGTCATCCACCGAGTGACCAAACCAGACCAGTGATCGATGTGCGCATATTTTACCACGGACTAGATTTCTTGGCGGCTAGATGTCAATCGCGGTGCAAAGAGACGAAGAGTGAAATGAAGAGACGGTATAACCAGCGCGAGGCGAAGCTCAGCCCACGGCGGACAAGTTATATGTATGTGGCCGCGGACGCAACAGCGATAGCAAAACACCGCACCGATCACGTTACGCATAAAAAGTTAAAACGACACACTATCTCAACACATATACTGCACAATAAAGAACAGAAGTCGTAACTGGAGTCGTTAACGCTGCAGCAGCTCGGCTCAATAGCGCCTTAATTACATATTTAATACTCGGTGTTTTCTTTAATGATTGTAACCAGAAAATTCGCTAAAGCGTGGCAGTAGGCAATTAAGCTTGTGTATATATAAACATACTGAACATTTCGCCAAGCTTCTTAACGCGTATGGCTCCCACGTTAAAATCGCGTGGGCTTGGAGAATAGATTTCATATGACGTACATAGCTTAAGCCTAAAACCTGCTTGACTACGAAATATTGGACTAAGATGTAGCAGCTTACCTTTGGGTATGGGTACGCTTGCACTGTACCCTCGCGTGTTGGCCTCTATATTGGAGGGTTTGTAGCTTAGCGTAGAGGCCGCGTGTAAAGCATTGATGTGAGCTTGCGTAACGAGCGCGTGTAACTTGATGTGAGCTTTGCGTAGAGCGGCGTGTAACTTGATGTGAGCTTGGGCGCGAATTGAACAGCGCAAGCTTTTATCACACGAAAGGGTCCGGGTATTTATGACACACTTGGGCGGCGGTAACACTGATTGGGTAAGATTCTTTCCTTCGGGGATTTAAAAGCATACGACTGCCAGAAAAATCCTGGCCAGTCACTCCATCTTATCAGCAAATAGAGATAGTGACTAGAGAGAGACAGTCGGTGGTGTGTGATGTGTGGTGTGGAGTGCGTGGTGTGGTGTGTGTGTGTGTGTGTGTGTGTGTGTGTGTGTGTGTGTGTGTGTGGTGTGTGTGTGTGCGCCGCGTGTGTGTGTTTTGTGTGTTGTATAGTTGTGTGGTGTGTGTGTGTGTTGCGAGTGTTGGTGTGTGTGTGTGTGTGTGTGTGTGCGTGCGTGGCATGGGTGTGTGAGAGAGACACACGTTTATTGTGTCTGCTTATTCACGTTTTACGGGGACATCGGTGTGTTTACTTGTGTAGCAAAGAACGGATACTTTCTATAATAAAATAATGGATAAAAATCTAATCTGTTTCGATGTGTTTTATCTCTGTCATTCGCGAATGCGAAAAAGTTACAAGAAATCATAACCGGGATACGTTTATTTGTTGACGAATTTTCACATTTTTCATGTTCTAAGTTTATTAAGTTATAACCATGACCATTCGTGTGTAACGCCTGTCCGCTCTGTTATATCTATTCATCACACCCCACCATGACCATCCATCCCATCCATCCATACCATCCATGCCATCCATCATCCATCCATCCATACCATCCATCCATCCATCCATGCCATCGCCAATGCAACATCATCCCATCCATACATCCATCCATCTCTCATAGCCATTTCGTCATCCATCCATCCATCCGATCTCATCCATACCATACCATACCATCCATTCATCCATTCATCCATCCATCCATGCCATCCATCCATCCATGCCATCCATCCATCCATGTTCCATCCATCCATACATCCATCATCCATCCATCCATCCATCCAATCCATCCATTCAATCCCATCCACCCAGCATCCACCATCCGATACCATGCCATCCATCCACTCCATCCATTCCATCCATCCATCCATGTCCATCCATCATCCATCCCTCCATCCATCCCATCCATGCTATCTCTATCCATCCATCCATCCATCACCATCCATCATCCATCCATCTATCCGTTCATGCATGCATCCAAGCATGCATCATGCTCCATCCATTCGTAGCGTCCATCCATCCATCCATCCATGCGCGGAGACGATCCAACCATGCATCCATCCATCCAATGCCATCCATCCATTGACCATCCTCCAGTTAAGCCATCCATCATCCATCCATCCATCATCCATCCTCCATCAATACCATCCATCCATACCATCCATCCAATCATCCACCCTATCCATCATCATCCTCATCCATCCATCCATTCCATGCCGTCCATGCCATCATCCATCCATCCATCCATCTATCCGTTCATAATCCATGGCCATCCAAGCATGGT